CCTATTTCAGTTGGATGATCTGGAAGAGACAGAGTGCAAAAAGGAAACAAAGGTGATCTTGGTGGAACTTTTCTAAAGGAGATGGCAGTTTGTGTTTTTTCACCCAGCTCTCCGCCCCTCTGGATTTTAATATTATAGTGGGGTCATTACAAGCATTTCGTCTATTGTTGGGCTTTACACAGATGCAAAGCTGGGCTCAGGAAGCCGGGAGGTTGATGAATAGTCGGTTTGATGTATTTGAACCATTCACCACTTTGAGTTAAATGTGCATATTCTGTTCAGAATAGACAATGGGGCGGGGCGGGCCCCCTTTTTCCTGTCTAACTTGCATAACATCAGGCCTCACTGCTTAAACTAATGAGTATTTAGAAGTAAAGGCTCCTACGGATTCCAGCCCTTCATTAATTCTCTACTTGCTGAGCCACCATGGAGTTTTTCATTGGCCACATTTTTCAGCCGTTACCAGTTGCTTTTGAGCAGCCAGTGCTGACCCCGGAGTTCCTGTGTCCCCCCCCCCCGCCCCCGCCACATAATGGGCTCGGAAGTCCCCTTGCAAGGACTTTTCACTGGGCATGAGGAACAAACTCAAAGATGCACATTCTAGTCTCAGAACTCTTAGTTGTGCGGACCTGTTAATTGGCCTTGAAGGAAGACGTTTATTTTATAGAACCTGGAAGAAGAAGGGGAGTTGGGGCGGGGGGAGACTTCCAATTTCTCTTCATCATACAGCCAGTGCTAGCTTTGTAATAACGTCTGCTCCATTGTCATTCTCCAGGCTTCTTTGCTAAATGGCTTCATTGATCTGGCCTCCATGGGTTTCCCACTTTTCCGGCTTACATTCTCTTGGGAATTGAAAAGCACTGGGTGGGTCTTCTCTGAAGGTGCTTGGTCAACTTGGAAACTCTCGTTTTTTAAAAAAAAATTTTTAATGTTTTATTTATTTCTGAGAGAGAGAGAGACAGCATGAGCAGGGGAGGGTCAGAGAGAGGGAGACACAGAATCCGAAACAGGCTCCAGGCTCTGACCTGGCTGTCAGCACAGAGCCCGATGTGGGGCTCAAACTCACAAACCATGAGATTCTGACGTGAGCCAAAGTCGGACACTCAACCAAGTGAGCCACACAGGTGCCCCGGAAACTCTCGTTTTTGAGGCAATTCAAACTTTGCCCAAACAAATATTAGGACGGAGACTCCTCACTTGAGTAATACTGGTTTTATAGCCTTTGGAAGGTGTTTGTCTGAAAGGTCACTTGCAGACCAATTCTGAAGGATGTTCAACATTCAGGAAATGATATTCTTAACTAAAAAGAATATACATATAATTGGGAACATGACAATTCATTATTCAATGGACTTTTGCATTATTAAACATCATAAATATTTGGTGGAAAACCCACTGTTTCATCAGGCTATTACTGAAGATGCCAACTGCCCACCTTCTAGCAAAATCATGTGTGAGGGAGGAGGGGAAGGGAAATGAGGAATGAATGGAAAAGACACTAAAACCGTCCTCACTTGAGTTAAAACCAATAAATTCCAGTTGAACAGGCAAAAATATTTTTTTTTGAGAAATCTCATTTTGGTCGTCAGTAATTCCCTGCTATTTGAAAGGAAGGGCAGGGGTGCCTGGGTGGCTCAGTCGGTTAAGTGTCCGACTTCAGCTGGGGTCATGGTCCTGCGGTTGGTGAGTTCGAGCCCCGCGTCCGGCTCTGCGCTGACAGCTCAGAGCCTGGAGCTTGCTTCGGATTCTGTGTCTCCCCCTCTCTCTGTCCCTCCCACGTCCACCCAAGCTTTCTCTCCCTCGGTCTCAAAAATAAACATTAAAAAAAATACATTAGAAAAGAAGGGCAATTTAAATATCCTGAACTTGGGACTGAGGCCTCCACAAAGCCCAAAGGCTCTACAAGCCCCCAAAATAAAATCTGAAATAGCACAGCATAAAAAAACAAAGACCAAGAATGGTTTGTCATTAATTAAATCATTAATTAAATCGTTTGTCATTAATTAAATCCATAGCCTAAAGCAGGCAACATGCTGAAACTATCAGATTACTTGAAAGTTCCGGTGTTCTCCATCTCCTCTCTACGGGTCTACAATTTTAACTTTAATTTAGGAAGCACCAAAGGCAGCCAGCGGACTACCCACATGACGTTCAAATGCTTGGGTCCAAATGGTTCCAACGGTTAGGTTAAAAAAGGAGAGGGGCGCCTGGGTGGCTCAGTCGGTTAAGCGTCTGACTTCAGCTCAGATCATGATCTCGCGGTTCGTGAGTTTGAGCCCCGCGTTGTCGGGCTCTGTGCTGACAGCTCAGAGCCTGGAGCCTGTCTTCGGATTCTGCGTCTCCCTCTCTCTCTGACCCTCCCCTGCTCACGCCGTCGCTATCAGAAATAAAGAAAAAACATAAAAAAAATTTTTTTTAAAAGGAGGGGCAAATAAACACTGGAATGGAGTCATCTGCTGACCACATCCATACTTTACAACAATGACTCAGCAAACCCTTTAATGTTGAGTTCAACAGCCTTCAGCCGGTTTCTTCTGAAAAGACATGATGTGATCTGGGCTTTCAAACACCTTTGTCAATCATTCCCACGGGTTGCAGGAACACGAGCAAACAGCTCGCTCTTAGCACAAAAGGTTTGCCTCCGTTAACCTTCAACTCACCCAGACATCCACAGGCGGCCCTTGCTTTTCCACCAAAATGAGAAAACGTTAGCAGCCCAAACTAGAAGTCTATGCAAAGCCTGTGAAACTTCTTTAAAAATTGGTACCCGGGAACAATAACGATGCCGGGATTTGTCTTTTTCAGAGGAGAGGGAGGAGGCAGCTAAAATTTCAAGTGTATGCAAAACCATGGCACATTGAGAGCTGAGCGATCTCTTTTTCAGAGAAACGAAGGGGCAGAAATTGCAGCCAGTCTTCCCCACCTGCCCCCGAAGATTCAAGACACAGGGTTCCTTTGTGCCGAAAACCAGAGTTATCTGAAGCCCGCAAGCAGAATGCATCAGCATTTGGGGACCACCTGGGACCGAGGTTGGCGGGGGAGGCGTGCCGGGAGATTTCCAGATGGACTGTAAGACAATTCATTGATATTTACATAACGAGAATAAATGTTTTCCCTAAGATAGCATTTCCCTTCAGTGCCTTGAAGACCACCAGCAAAAGAGGGAGGTACAGAAATTCTATTGCATTAATAGTCTTTGTTTTTTATGGCTTTGGCATTTATTAACTAGTGGGAGCTATTTATTGGGTCATAAACTTTACTAATGGGGATATTATCTCTAAATTATAAATCTCCTTCAGTATATGGCTTGGTTTTAAAAAGAATAATTATTTAAAGTATCGTGTTTATCGGCACGATTCCTATAATGGCCGTTTAATTGCTAATTGTGGGCTTGAACTGCAAATAACCAGGGCAGTGACACACATTGGTGCAAGGGACGAGCAGCTGTCATCCCACAAACTCAGTGACGTGTCACTGGTTCGCTGCTTTTCCCCTCCTCTTCCCACTTCTCAAGCGAACTGTATCACATGCCTGTACAAAGGCGAAATTATCTACATATTTAAAATCTTGAGGGAAAGACAACTGACTGAAGAGTTGAATAGGTAAGTGACAAATGTGTCAGCCTGGAAAGTTCCAGGAAAGTGTCATCCTTCTAAAAGCTTGCTCTCTGGGGAATGAAAAAGCTTAAAAGTGACAAAATGGCTTGGCACTGTCAGCTGTCTTAAAAAAAAAAACTGGAATAAAAAAATCAAGTAGTCAAAATTAGGTTTTATGGGTAAATGGTCCTAGTACATAAATGGAATATTCTAGTTTATTGGAAAGTCCTGAGGGGTCTATCCTAACAATGGCACATGTAGAATTGCCCTAGGTTTATATATAGAGTTTATTGATTAACTTCAGTTAAAAAAAAAAAGAAGAAAGAGCCATTGTTGTCGACCAAATGGGGACATCTGAGTGCCAAGAAGGCAGCTCGTTTCTAGGCAGGGCGCCACCAGTGTGGGGTGAAGGAATAAGGGACAGAAGGGGCCCTTGACATGTCATCAGTTCCTCTTCCCCTCCTCAGAACAGTCCCTGAATGGTAGACATTGAAGCTCCTTTTCCATAGGATTCCATGGTTTCTGAGCACACCGGGCAACTCCACTTATCATACGTAAAACCCAACCCTGAAGAATGGAGTGAATTGGGGCAAACTTCTCTTAAGGAACTCACTGAGGTCCACGGTTATGAGGTCTTTTTAATGTTTTATTTATTTGTTCTGAGAGAGAGAGTGTGTGTGTGTGTGTGTAAGCAGGTGAGGGGCAGAGAGAGAGAGAGAGAGAGAGAGAGAGAGAGAGAGAATCCTAAGTAGGCTTCATGCTGTCAGCACAGAGCCCAACATGGGGCCTGAAGCCATGAACTGGGAGATCACGACCTGAGTGGAGATCAAGAGTCTGATGCCTGACTGAGCCGCCCAGGGCGGCCACGGATATGAGTTTTAGTCAAATATCCACCACACAACGGAAGTTCGGCTGAGACTTAAAATGTACGGGCCTAGAAAAATCAAAATGGAAGCAGGGAAAAGCAGGAGGGGAAACATGTTATCATCTGAATATTTAAACCTCTGGGGTGGGTGGTGTGTGTGGGGGGGGAGGAACGGACCAAAAAAGATCTCTCAAAACCCTCGGCATTCATGTCCCTAGATATTTTAAACATAATACATTTTTGGTCCTATTTATTTTAAGTTCACAGCTAACTTTAGATCTAAAACGGGCATTAAAATATAAATGCTGCATATGTTTCAATTTCTCTCCCAAATTTTTACGTGTGTTGCGTTGCAGGGTGTGTGTGTGTGTGTGTGTGTGTGTGTGTTTGCACGCGTGCGCCGTGGGGTGGGGGAAGGAGTCCTCATAGTTTTGCTAATATCAGAAAATAAATACATTTACTCTGGAGAGGTTTAATGATTATTTGGTAAGGTGGGTTGCTACAAAACTTAATTATAGAAGTAATAAACAGGAATCAAAGAGATTTCAAAAAATGTTTAATAGAATCACAACTTACTGCTCAGATAGAATTTGATTTGATATTGTCACGTACAGCTGTCAAAAATAATTTTCTTTTTGTGTGGTAATGAATCAAATGATGTTTGATAGAAAAGTACCAGAAGATTCTTTGCTATTAATAAATCATACATATAATAAAAATGTTTGACGTTTCTTTAAATGGCATTTTTAATCATGCCGGTACGTCAGCAGTATAACATGATGTTCTGAAATATGGAAATGACAAAAGGAAATTAGTTGTGATCTATGGATTTCAGTTCAGTATGAGCTTTGCTTTTTTTTTTGTTAATGAAATTATATATGGTGAAATAAACTTAGGAAAATTAGAGCAGGAAATCAAAGGGAGTTGACCAAAATTGGCATATGGTTACTCTTCCTCTATGCCAAATACCTCCTTTAAAAGTCTAAAATAGTCAACACGTTTTGCAGGAATAGGTGATGGCATCCCAAGCCACTTGTCTTCGCATTTCTAGAAAAAAACCAAAGATGGATAGAATTATAACCACATTTCAAAGTGCGGTTTTGTAAATGCAATACCCAATTGTTTCTCATTGTGATATAAGCTCTTGATAGATCCCTTCTTTTCCTTTTTTTAAAAAAAATTTTAAATGTTTTATTTATTTCTGAGAAAGAGAGAACAAGAGACAGAGTGAGCAGGGGAGGGGCAGAGAGAGAGGGAGACACAGAATCTGAAGACAGGCTCCAGGCTCTGAGCTGTCAGCACAGAGCCTGATGCGGGGCTCGAATCCATGAACCGCAACATCATAACCTGAGTTGAAGTTGGACGCTTAACCGACTGAGCCACCCAGGCGCCCCTAAGGGGTGTTTTTAAAAATTTGATTGTGCTATAGAGGGATATAATGCAAATATATGCATTCAAAATCACTCTTCATTGGGGCGCCTGGGTGGCTCAGTCAGTTGAGCACCTGACTCTTGGTTTCAGCTTGAGTGGCGATCCCAGGGTCGTCGAATCGGGCTCCGTGTTAGGCTCCGCACTGAGCGTGGAGCCTGGCTGGCTGGGAGTCCTCCTCCATACTCTTTCTCTCTATAATTAAAAAAAAAAAAATCACCCCTCCTTGATAGTTTTTTAAATAAGAATTTCCAATATGAAAACAATAAAATACATTAATGAATTCTTATCATTGCAGAGAAATTATCTGGGGAATGGAGTCTCTTAGGAAACAGGTCAATTCTAGAAGGTCCTTTCCTTATAGCTTTATTAAATGGCCAAAGTTTCTTGTTTTTGAGCAAGGAATCATGATTTAAAATTCTATCAATAGAAGAGGAAGAGACAGAGGGACTCTCACTGGAATCATGAAAACTCAAGAATTTGGAGATGAGAATTAGACTTACTAGCAATAAGCCAGACATGGGCAAAATGAAGCTCAAGTAAATACCCTGAGGTTTGAAATGAAGGATAATTTAAGAGGAAAAGACAGCAAGAGTCCATTTCTTTACATTCTTCGTTACTTTGAACTCCATGGCTCAAGCAGTGCCTTCTTGACCACTCCTGTCCCGCTATGCTTGCTCTCTAGAATCAGTACCACTTCCCTCCATTTGATTTCCCTTTGTCACTATTCTCTAGGCTCCAAGTCGGAGGGGCTCCTTCAGCCCAAATACCGGATTAAGTGCCACAGGCATATTTGCAGTGGTTAAGAAATCCAAGTGATGTGAGGGATAAGGTGTCTTACGTTATGTGAAGGAGACATTTTTGAAAAGCACCTAAGGACAGGGGGCTGGTTCCTAGGTGAACTGCCCTGGTAATTAGTGGGGGGTTGGAACTGTCATTTCTATCCTCCCCCGGACCTCCGGGGACAGAGCTGGCCATCACGAATGGCCAATGATTTAATCAACCCTGCCTCTGTAAGAGCCCAAAAGGATGGGGATTGGAGAGCCTTCTAAGTTGGTGAGCACGTGGAGATTTGAGGAGGGTGGCCGGAGAGGGCATGGGATCTCCCTGCCTGTTCCCCCTACTCTGCCCTATACACCTCTGCCACCTGCCTGTTTAGAGTTATATCCTTTTATTTATTTATTTTTTTAAATGTTTATTTAGTTTTGAAAGAGACAGGTGGGGAGAGAGAGAGAGAGAGAGAGAGAGAGAGCGAGCGACCGCAAGTGCAAGGGGCAGAGAGAGAGGGAGACAGAGAATCCTAAGCAGGTCCCATGCCATCAATGCAGAGCCTGATGTGGGCTTCAAACCCACAAACCGTGAGATCATGGCCTGAGCTGAAATCGATAGTCGGAGGTTAACCAACGGACCCACCCAGGCGCCCCTATATCCTTTTATAATAAACCAGTGATCTGGTGAGTAAAATGTTTCTCTGAGTTCTGTGAGCTGCTCTAGCAAAGTAATCGAACCCAAAGAGGGGGTGGTGGCAACCTCCCATCTATAGTCAGGTGACCAGAAGCACAGGTGATAAACTGGTGTCTGAACTAGGGGAGGCAGTCTTATGGGACCAGCCCTTCCACCCACTGGGACCTGATGCCACCTCCAAGTAGATCATGTCAGAACTGAGCTGAATTGTTGGATTCCACCCCCCCCCACCCGCTCCAGCTGGTGTCAAGAGTTGCTTGGGGTAGGGCAACCTCCCAGCCCCCACATTGGAATTGGTGCCAGAACTGTAGCCAGCCCCCAATCCTAGGGAGAGTTTCACAGGAACTAGTTTAAATGGACCAACAGAAATTAAATTGAGGTCCGAAGGAGGGGGGGAAGCAGGAGAGAAGATTTAAGAAACTCGGGGGAGGAGAGGCATCGATGAAGTAGAGGAAAACAGTATCTTCTTCCTAGTTTTGCCTGTAATTGGGGTCCATCTAAAGGAGTCACGTGGGCAATCTCTTTGCAAAATAGATTCTGGAAGCACGAGAGACCCCACACTCCCACTGCCGCACTGCTCTAATAAATCCCCAAATGTCCTACGTGACATGATACTGACGCCGATCTTGGGCAGGGAGTAAAAATATCCTCTGTGTTCACTGACATTTTATTCACGCTATTCTACGAGATGAGGAGAAAACTCCAGACCGTAGTGCATTCCCAGCAGTGCACGGAAGTTTTTTTTTTTTTTTTTTTTAATATTTATTTATTTCTAGGAGAGAGAGAGAGAGCAGCGTGAGCAGGGGAGGGTCAGAGAGAGAGGGAGACACAGACTCTGAAACAGGCTCCAGGCTCTGAGCTGGCAGTCAGCACAGAGCCCGACGCGGGGCTCGAACCCACGAACTGCGAGATCATGACCTAAGCGAAAGTCGGACGCTTAACCGACTAAGCCACCCAGGCGCCCCAATGCACGGAAGTTTTTAAGTGGAAGTAAGTGCATGGTAATTTTCCGACAGGAGAGCTCGTCCATAGCAGCGACGCCTTCCATCCCAGATCGGAGATATCTGTACATAGCAGGCTCTGCCAGCGGCTCTCCGGATCCCCTCACCCTTTCTGCTTCGGGGTGCCCCGGCCTGACTACCAACCACCACCACCTGCGTTCTTTTGCTCAAAAGCTTTACTTTGGCCTCGGGGGCCCACTTGAGCCAGCCCTGTGACATGCCACAGTGCCTGTAAATTCATTCTTCTCCCCCTGACGTCAGGAGCAGCCTTCATCCATGACTGATGGGAGCTGATGAATACCGCAGCTCCCTTGCACTTTGGGGAGGGGGGCGGAAATGCTAAGGTACATCTAGGCCACTGGGCTCCCCGGGTTTCCCAGAGGCATTAAGCTCCAGTCACCAAAACGTGTCACTAGTTTGAGAATGTGCCCTGCTCTTCATTCCTCACTCCCTTAACAGTGTCCCTTTCACCTCCTGCCCCCCAAATCGATCTACACTCATCTAGAGGAAGTCGAACAAAGATGCTACGCACTTTTGTATGTCCCCAAATTACTAACATGTCTATGAAAGTCACAGCACAGCTTGGAAGAGAGCAACTTCCTGACAAACGGTGCATGGAGCCAGTGTCTCCGATATGGCTTCCAGATAATTCCAGACGCTGTGCCCAAAGCTCAAAACAAAACTCAGTTTCACCTGGAGCATAAACAGTATTTTCTGGAAGAAGGAGCAGCCATGACACGCAGAGTGAAATTCAACAGTGATGCGAGACAGTGACGCCAAAATGGCCGGGAACCATTGTCTGCAAAGAAGGCCCTCCAGCATCCTCCAAGCCGGCTCTGACTACAGCTACTTACAACGTCAAACAAGTTGGCAATAAATTACTCGTTCATCAATGGCGGGGAAAAAGAAGGGAGCTGCCGATCTGTAAAATCATACACCCTTGAAGCAAAGACGGCACTGGCTGGAAACCCAGTAAACAGCAGCTGCCCAGTGAGAATCGCAGAGCTGTGTGTGAGCTCCTGGGCGCTGGATTTATTTGCTTTGACATTTTTAAAAGGAAATTTAATTGGATTATGTCTCCTTCTAGCTTAAAATTTTCTAGTGGAGTACTGGCCACCAGATGCATGAGGGGGAAAGACTGGGAGCCAATTAAATTCCATGCTTCACTGAAACGAGGTTATTTTTATTCCTCCCAAATGTAAGGCGGATGGAGTCATGTTAGTGATTTCACTGTTACTCCCTTCCACTTACTCAAAAAAAAAAAAAAAAAAAAAAAAAAGAAGACATTTCTATGGGAAATATCCATGACTTTGTAGACGAGTCCCGCAGCATTGATGGGATTGAAACTGTGGTTTTCCTAACTTTACCACCTTCTAACAGGTTGACATGACCTCGGAACTAACTAATGGACCTTGAGAAAACTGTAAAAACCAATTACATTTCAGTAAATCAGACTGCAATTTGGGGGAGAAATTTCACAAATAGTTGGTGAGACCGTCAAGAGCATTCAGGTCATCGAGAAAACCTGGAGGTTTGCTTATGTTCCTACCCACTTCTGTCTTCACTACCAGGCCCATATTTCCCAATTGCTTCCCAGTATCCTAGACAAAGCTTCGAAAGAACGGTCATCTGAGTGTAGCTAAAACAGAGGTGTGGCCTTTAAACAAGAAACCTTTCCTTGAGAGTACATTAACGGGCAAACAAGAGTTGTCAAGAAGAGCTGGGTTTTTGCTGAGCTTTAGGCTTCCCCAGACAAAGTAGACATCACCCAACGCTGTAAATCAAAGCGGATTCTGGTAGCGATCGTTCCCGACTAGGTTACTGTTTTGCGGTAGCCAATCGGCATGTGTTTATCAGCTACTTTTAAACTCTAACGAGAATGACGAATAGTCTTCCATTTTGACTGTTAAATTCAACCTCAGATACTAGAAATAATGGCTCATCTAAAGGGTTGGCACCCGCCCCTCACTTTAGCTAGTTTTGTCTTTACCTTTAGCAATGTCTTTGAGTCTCGGCTTCCTATCTAGAAGTCGGGAATGACACTCAGTTTGCTCAAGATCAGGACAATAAAATGCCACAGGATATTCCACCCTCTAAATGCCCAAAGAAGATCCTCGACAAGCGGGGTGTCCAAAGATGTATTCCAAGGGGAAC